CCTCACTCAGATTATCCTCCTCCTCCTCCTCCTCCTCCTCCTCTGTACTTGCACAGTCAAGGAGACTTGGTCCTCTTTATCACATGATGGCTTTAAATAGCCCCAGTGTAGGGATGCCCCCCTCCGATGACAGCACGGCACTTGGAGAATGAATAATCATCAATACCCCATTTTTAGCCTACTCATGCTATAACAGCAAGACATGTGATTAGTTTTACTATGCTGTTTAGGTGAGGGTCTCAGTGGAACGAGGGGAGGCACAGATGAATCTTTGTCTGGCTGACTGCATTGCCTCTGGTTCAATGCCCACCAAGGCATCTCAGCAGCGCTAAAAGGGCAGGTCCATTACAGTGGTCTAGCCTCAAGGCTAGAACCAGTGTGGGGTAGAGGTTAAAATGTCAGGCTAGGATCTGGGAGACTCAGGTTTGAATCCCCACTCTGCCACGGAAGCTTGCTAGGTGACCATGGGCCAGCCGCTCCCTCTCAGCCTAATCTCCCGGTTTCTCACAGGGTTGCTATGAGAATAAAAATGGAGGAGGAGAAAATTATGTTGTGAGCTGCTTGGGGTCCCCATAGGGTAGGATATGTGGAAATAAAACAAAGCAAGGAGGTTCGATGGCATCAGAAAGTCCTGCGTGAAGAAGCCCTGCGGAGGTGTCCTTTTTAGAGAGCCTCCAAATTCCTGGATGGTGGGCCTTCCTCCCTTTTGTGTGATGACAGGCCTTCTTTATTCCCCTTCTGACTGAAGCCTCTTTTTGCTGGGAGTGGCCTATAGAAGACAGGCATTTCAACGCACATCTGACCACGAGGGGAGCAGTGCTTCTTCTGCATGCATCTGCGGGAAGATCTCCCAGAGAGTCCCCAGACCTGAGCTGTTTCCCATCCCACTAAACTGTTCAGACAAGCTGCTGTAGGATCAAAAGGCTGCCATGCAGGAGGCTGGAGAAGGGAGCAGGAGATGACTGGGGAGGGGGAGAAGCCTAACAAGATGCAAATGGGGAGGGGTGCAGTACAAGGCCAGCGCAAGCATGCTGGGTTTGTGGCCAGCAGGAAACAGAAGCCAGGAATCTGGGCTGGGGGCAGAGGGGGAGTGTTTCAGGTGGGAGGAGGGAAAGAAAGAGTCCCGCAGTTGAGCATTAAATATCTCAAGGATTTGTTAAGATCTCAGCAAAGGTTGAGATGCAAAGGGTTGCGTTCTAGAGTCAAACCCACAGAGCTGACATTCAGATTCATAGAGACAGTGCAATGTAGTAGAATCATAGAGTTGGAAGGGAACTCCAGGGTCATCTAGTCCAACCCCCTGCACAATGCAGGAAACTCACAAATACCACCACCCCATACCCTCACTGACCCCTGTTCCATGCCCAGAAGATGACACACACAAAAAACCCCTCCAGGATCCCTGGCCAAACTGGCCTGAAGAAAAATTGCTCCCTGACCCCAAAGTGGTGATCAACATTTCCCTGGGCATGTAAGAAAGGGCCACAAGAATTAAGCACTGAGGCAACCCTTCCTGCCCTCCTTCTCATGATCTGCCCAAGTTCACAGAACCAGCATTGATGAAAGATGGCCATCTAGCCCCTGTTTGAAAACCTCCAAAGAAGGGACCCCAACGCCTCCTGAGGAAGTCTGTTCCACTGAGGAACAGCTCTGTCAGGAAGTTCTTCCTAATGTTTAGCCAACAATTCTTCTGATTTGATTTCAACCCATCTGGGGCAGTAAGTGTTGAACTCATTTGTTATGAGGGCCAGATCTGACATAAATGAGACCTTGTTGGGCCGGGCCATGTGTGTCATAAAATGTAATGCCAGGTAATGGCGATATAAACTTATAAAGGACACAGACAATTAAAGATTTTTTAAAACTTTAAATAACACATTTCCAGTGAGTTCGACACACCTGAGATTATTGTAGAAGGATGGTGGAGACCCTGCTTCAAATCACTTTTCAGCCATGATGATGACGAGATGACTTTGGGCCAGCTGCTCTCTCCTAACCTATCTCTCGTGACTGTTATGAGGACAAAATGGTGGAGGGCAGAACTATATATGCTGCCCTGGAGGTAATGTGGGATATTAATGAACAGGTAGACCTTAACTGAAACAGCAGGGGCAGCATTCACATAAGCACAGGCGAGCAGAGCTAGGGCTGATTCACACATGCCAAAACACTGCTCTTAAATGAAGCAGTGTTCATTAAGGGTGATTTCCCACAAGCGCTGCTCCGCGCTCACTCCTCCCTTTTGCCCCGATGGTACGTGTCAATTTCACACAAACTGCTGCGCGGCAGCATTTTGCCCTGCAGCTTCGCACAATTTTCCCCGCGTCTACTCAATCCTCAAAAAACAGGCTTGAGTAGACGCGGGGGAAATCGCGTAAAGCTGCGGGGCAAAATGCGGCCGCGCAGCATCTTGTGTGAAATTGACACGTACCATCGGAGCAAAGAGAAGAGTGAGCGTGGAGCAGCGCTTGTGGGAAATCACCCTGAGTGTGGTGGACTGGTGTGTGTGTGAATCAGCCCTCACACTGTTCACTTTTTCAGATTATCAGTTGAGCATGCAAACGGCCTCGCAGGATGAAAAGTCCTGCATTTGAGAGATTGCAGGATAATAGGGAACATCACTTGATTTCACACACATGCAAGCCATAATTTGAGTCTGCAGCCTGCAACTGGTGATCATTAGAGCCCATTCGCACTTCTGTTGCTATATGTAAGGTGCCGGATGTACTTTTATCGTAATTCAGTCATGTCCACTATGGAACTACTACTTCATATTGCTGTCTAATGTTTGGTTAATATTTGGAAATATGCACATTTTCTGAATAATGCCAAAGAGTTATTGTGTATGATTTAAATTATGTCTTCTAAAAAAATCTTTGCCTTTCGTTCCCACTGGACATGTTCCAGTTAAATTTTGAACAATGTTTCAAAAACATCTGACTTTGATTGGCAAAGGAAAACATTAGCCAAATGAATTTCCAAAGTGTGCTGAATCGTAACTGATCATTCTGAGGCTAACCAACTTCTTCTAATTCTGGGACCGGAGGAAGGATGTTTCTGAAATACTTCTCTTCCGAATTTTTCGGAGTTCTGAATTTTATGGTCTTTACCAAAGGGAAACTGATGCATTAGGTATCCTCCATTTGTATCTGAATTCTCTAACAGTACTGTGTCTACCTCAGCAGTTTGCTAGAGCTTTTGATTCCTTCAGTTCATTTTTGCTGCACCTCCCGACCCCCACTACTGATGCACTGATTTTGACACTGCAAAAAAAAAAAAAAAGGAAAAAGATGATTGCATCAAGATTCTTTCTGTGGAGTATTTTACAGATATGTGTTCCTAAAGCTCTGCACAACATCTGGATGCAATCTTTTTTTTTTTTTTTGCAGTATTTTATCAATGTACATGTGTGGGTCAGCATTGTAGAGTGTGAGGAAAGATGCAAATGGGAACTGAAAACTGTAACAAGATCTGTGTGCTCTAACTCTGGGAATAACATTGGAATTTGTCTAGTTAAAATAGAATTCAGAAACTAGCCCTGACCTGGATAGCCCAGGCAAGCCCAATCTTATCGGATCTCAGAAGCTAAGCAGGGCTGACCCAGGCAAGTATTTGGATGGGAGACCTCTGGGGAATACCAGGGCCAGGAGGCCAGAGACAGGCTATCGAGCCACTTCTCTGAAGATGGGAATTTTCACCAAAAGAAAGTATTATTTTCCTCTCCCGTCCTCTTAATCATATGAATAGCAGAGCAGCAACAATGGATATGAATTAGAAGGTTTTGGTACTTACCTTCAAAGCTCTAAACGGACTGGGACCATCGTATCTATGGGACCGCCTCTTCCTATATACCTCTCAAAGAGCATTGCGCTCGTCTGGTAATAGCTTACTGGTAATCCATGCCCCAAAAGCAGTCCGGTCGTCCTTGACCAGGACCAGGGCTTTTTTGGCTCTGGCCCCAACCTGGTGGAACTCTCTGGCTAATGAGACACTGGCCCTGCGGGACTTGATTCAGTTCCACAGGGCCTGTAAGACTGAGATGTTCCACCGGGCATATGGTTGAGGACAGTAATGGTTAGAGAGTTCAGCTGGCCTCCCTCTTCCCACCCCTTCCCCCCTTTTGCCCACCTGTGACATTAGGGTTGCCAGCCTCCAGGCGGGGCCTGGGGATCTCCCGCTTTTACAGCTGATCCCCAGCTGACAGAGATCAGCACCCCTGGAGAAAATGGCTGCTTTGAAGGGTGGACTCTATGGCACTGGACCATGCTGAGGCCCCCTCCCCAAACCCTGCCCACTCCTGACTCCACCCCCAAAGTCTCCAGATATTTTCCAACCCAGACCTGGCAACCCTATCTGACATAATAGTTGACAGTTTGGGTTTTTAATTGTATTTTTGGATTTCAATACTGTAATACTGATTTTACTGTATATTTAATTATTGGAAGCCACCCTGAGCCCTACTTGATGGGGAAAGGAGCGGAATATAAATGGAATAAATAAAATAAATACAAAATAATAACTTGTTTGGATTTATTAACAAGGCTGCAATGAGGGCAGCCAAGAAGGAGATGGATATACGTGAGCCATGGGAGGGTCACACGTTCTCTAGTGCTGAATCATTTCAGTAGGTGTCATGGGAGAACTTCTAGTGGATCAGGTCCTTTGTCTGGGGATTTGCAATTTGGATTTTCTGCCCAAATGTAGTGGCCAGCCCTGTCTACCATTAGATGCCCAATTTTCCTGTGATTAAGTGGACTCAAGCAAATGCAAACAAGCATATGAGACAGAGACAGAGCAATAATAAAAAAAAGAATTGGCTTATATCAATTTGGCAGCAGTGAGCAGGAAATAGCTTGGGAAGTTAACAAACATGAGCCCTTCACTCCCTGGAGTGCTCTGGTTTCTGAGCCAAAAAATACCAGTGGATTATCTCATGTATGCATCAGTTTCATTTGTCCCATTCAGTCTATCACCATCTAATAGTGCCTTTCTGTTTTCAGGTGACCGAGGCCCAAAGGGAGAAAAAGGAGAGAAGGGAGAGAGAGGAGACAGAGGTACAGAAATAGGTAAAACAGAAATCTTATATTATTCTTAGTTGGGACACTTAAATTGTTCTCTGTTTAGGATTGCATTTTTTTTTTGCCAGGGTTAGCTACAGTGTCTTTAACCATTGCATGATACACAGGTACAAAGGTGAGGCTTTCCCAAGCAGTGTGCCTCCACACAAGGCAAAGCTAGGCCTATTGCACTTATGTATGTTATCAATTATTTAAAAAAAAAATTATACTCCACAACTCTCATCCAATGGATTCCAGGTGGATTTCAGCAGAAAATAGCAATGCAGACCATTTCATAATTTGATAGAAACAGCATTAAAAGTTATTAAAGTAACCCCAAGCCAGATTAGCAATAAAGCTAGCAATAAAAGCAAAACTGCAATAAAAGCAGCATAAAGCTACACACAGTTATATCAGCCAGTCCAACAGGCAAGAAGCGAAGGAACAATGATCAAACTCAACTTGAAGCTGTGTAAAAAGAAAGGCATCCAAATCTGGACAGGATCAGTTTAACACGAACTGTTGTGGGGAGGAAGTTCCATGATTGGGGTACCACCACTGAAATAGTTCTGTCCCAAGTGTCCACCTTCTTCTGTGTAGCAGTCATATAAACATATGAAGCTGCCTTACATCAAGTCAGCCCATTGGCCCATCTGGTTTAGCTGTCTCCTCTGACTAGCTGCAACTCCCATGGCAGAGAAAGATCCTTTCTAGCACCTGCAACCTGAATACTTTTAATTAAGTGTGTGGAGAAATGAGAGAGATTAGAGGCTACGAACCCCGCATGTTCATTCCAAATTTTTCTGTTAGTACGACAGAAAACAGGACAGCGATTAATTGCTCTCAGGTCTTGGTTATGCAAATTCTTTTAGTCAGTAGAGAACAATCAAAGGGCCATCTCATACCGTGGTAGGAATGTGACACCTAGAAGGTAAGGTGACAGAAACTTGGGAACGCCAAATGTTAGATTGTAGATTGTACCTGTTTCTGGGAATGAATAAAGTGGAGTGCACAGTGAGAGGTAATAAATCCCCTAGACATGAGACTACATCTGGGGATAACTTGGAGGAAGGAGCTCTCATACCTGGACTCCATCTTCATGGCCACTAAAATACATCAGGAAGCCTGGACAAAGACTGAAAACACTAGATGACTGATAGAATGCTATAACTTTAAGAGTAAAGAGCCTACCCTAGAATAATAACAGTGAGGGTATGTCTAGACCAGCAACAGAGGAATATGTGTATGCACCTTTACTTTGTAGCTTTGATCAATCTGTTGCTGTGCAGAGTATTTTTGTGTACATTTTCTTATAAATACATTTCTTATTATTTTGAATGGTTGGACGTTCTCTATAACCACATTCAGCCCCACCTAAAAATGTTATTAAAATGACACTGGGGAAGGGAGGTGGTTGGTCAATAAATTGCTAAATCTCTGGGAATGCACAAGTGCAGTAAGCTGTCCCTGCAAAGGCTAGTTAGGGAGGAAACATGAGCACTAGGCAGTGCCTGTAAATGGCAATGTGGGTGGAACACTAAAAATGCTGGCACTCTTAGTGGAAAATCCTCTAACTGACCAACTGGTGGCAGTGTACATACCCAGAGAGAAGTAAAGAACTCCTTTGGAAGTTGGGAGGGCTTGGGAGAATGGTGTGATGTCAGGCAGAGAGCCGGGATGGAGCTCTTGGAGGACCCAAAGTGGGTCAGCGGGGCATTCTGCAGCACAGAGATATCAAAGACAGATTCTTTAGCTATTCTGGCCCCAGACAGTTTCAGTCTTCAAGAAACAATCATAGATATAGCTGTAGTCTGTTGCTGTTTAAAGGCTGTGGCATGTATCCCGTGAGATCCACTTGGGGAGCAGACTCCACAGAGTGGGCCTTTCCCACTTCTCCCTCCTGCTGCAGCCCACTGAGCCACCTGTAGTTTTGTTCTGGGGGGTGGGGGTGGGGTGTCTGTGGATCGTCAGGAGCTGCATACAAGGCGAAATGAGGGTCTGCAGCAATCTCCACCCCACCCCCCTTCCACCCCCCCCCCCCCCCCTTCCAATGTTGGAAATCCCCCCCCCCCATTTTCAGAAAAAAAAGAAATCAGATGAGGTAGATGAGGAGGTGGCAATCCTGTTTCTGGTATGCGGCATGGGTTATGCAGGGGTTGTTTGCTGTACAAACCAACCTGGAAGAGGAGAGCAACCTGTAGCATAGTTCATGTTATCAATATGGATCAGAGGGTCACTTAAAAAAATAGCAAGAGTTCATACATTTGGCATATGTCCTTACTACCTTGTCATTCAGTAGTGGAAACAGCTAGAGATGTAGGCACTACTGAACAATGATCATATACTGTTTTTCCCCCCCTTCATTTTATTTATATTCGACATTTCTCTCTAGTGGGGACATATGGTTTGAAACTTGGTGCTGAAGGCAGGCCTCCTTATACTCTCCGTAAACTGTGGCCCTGCATACACATACAGCATTGCCAGTTCAATGGTTTTACTTCTTAAATACTACAGAGCCTATGACACAGTGCAATCTCTGTCAAATGCTCCTGCGCTTGCTCCCAACATTTTGTCTCTGCAGCATGGGATTTGTAGTGTGCAACAGCCAGATACCAACACATTAAAATGGAGGTCTTGGAGGGCACAACACAGCACAATTCTAGCCATAGCCTACACTTTGTCCTTTCCCCTATATCTGTTGGTAAATGGGATCTATCTCATCTTCAGTGGCAGCTGATTACACTTACTGGGCTGTTGAGATAGCCCACCCTCTGGTTTTGACTGAATGGGGCTTCTATCAGCTGTGGGGTTCACTGTGAAAGAGGAGGCTGCCTCCGTGACAGTACATGCCACAGTCGGGATTACTGTGACTGTTTTGGAGCCTGCTGCTGGTGGAATCATTGCAGAATGAAAGGAACATTTGGAGGCCATTCTAGGGTTAGCGACTGTGGCTATCAAGGTATGGACTGCATTGCCCACACACAGCAACCCCCTGTCCTTTCTCAGTGAGGTCCTTTTGAATCCCATCAACACACAGTGAGAAGCCAGAGCATGATTAGGGTGTGCTGGGGTGCCCAGCAGAGCTGCACATCACTTCTCTTCTGGCTTTTATTTACTTCCTGCTGGCCCACTGAGCCACAGAGCCATTAGCACCACAGCAATGAAATATCCACGTGCCGTAATGTATCTGACACATTCCAACCTCCCACATTCTGGAGTATATCCATTCCCTGGTTCTAGATGAACAGAACAAGAAAAGCATTTCTTCTGGGGGTTTCAGAGCAGCAGTTCTTTCGTTCTAGGCCATAAATCTCCTGTTTCCCTAACAGACACATGGTACCAATTATCTGAGTCGATGATATCTTTGTGCAGCTGCAGAGACTTAAGGGCTTGTTTTCCTAAGCAATCATGTTTATTTCTTTTCCTTATATTTTTCCCTCTTGGTAAAGGATCGGAGGGGGTAACAGGCTCAATGAAAACAAATATGGGAGAGGAACAAAGGCCGTGGGGAGCTGTGGGATCTCATGCAATGGGGGGGGGATGTGCCCCCCCCCACCATACCCCACAGCCTTTTCAAGGGGACGATCAATGCAGGATGGCCAGGGCAGAGCACATTATTGCAAATCTCCAAGCATCAGGCAGGTTCTTGTTTGCATTCATGGAAGACTAAAAAGACCTGTGTGAGGTTAGGAGACTTCTTGCAGCTGTAGGGTTGCCAGCCTCCAGGTGGGCCCTGGGGATCTCCCGCTTTTACACCTGACCTCCAGTTGACAGAGATCAGCTCCCCTGGAGAAAATGGCTGCTTTGAAGGGTGGGCTCTATGGCATTGTACTATGCTGAGGCCTCTCCCCACCCCAAACCCCACCCTCTCCCGGCTCCACCCCCAAAGTCTCCAGGTATTTTCCAATCCAGACCTGGCAACCCTATGCAGCTGGCATGTTAAATATAAACGGCATTAGGCCTCAGTCCTAAACATGCTTCTCTGCAGCAGAGGAGTAAAGAAAAAGCATCCATTTGTGGGCAAGCTGTTCAGTTACATAGGCCAGCCCAGTCTCCTGTTTCCAACCATTCGATGTCCACGGTGCCTTCAGGAGGATGGAAGTTCACAAGAAGACTGAGTGTCTTAGGAGTTGGAATCTCAGACTAGGATGGGATTGCCAGACCCCCGGTCAGGGCGGGGTTTTCCCCGATTTTTGGAGTTTCAGTCTGCTGCCAGTCACCTGGCTGGTGGGGGAAGCCCGGCCGCCAAGTCCCACCACCTGCAGCCACACCTCTCCTTTCCTGAGAGATTTAAAGGGCCCTCCAGCTGATGAGATCGGGCTACCCTGGGCCATCCAGGTCAGGGTCAGTCCTCAGTATCTCTGCTTAAAAATCCTCATGTTGTAGTGCTAGGAAAAACTATTGACCCTGAGAACTACAAAATACAGGACTTGGTGGATAAATGGCTTGATTGGGATATATGGAACCTTGATTTCTTCTCTCTTTGCATTTGGATCTCGAAGATTGCTCAGGGATATTCCCAGTCAATTCACTGAATTTTCTGTTCTCTTTTTAAAAAGTAGTAGTAGTAGTAGTAGTAGTAGTAGTAGTAGTAGTAGTAGTAGAAGTCCTTTTACTTGCAAAGCTAGAAAACCTGCAGGGAATTCATACCTTCCAAAATTTCACAGATGAAAATAGGGCTTGTAACATTATGGTGCTGGAAAAGATTCTTGAGAGTCCCTTGGACTGCAAGGAGATCAAATCAGTCAATCCTAAAAGAAATCAACCCTGACTATTCCCTGGAAGGCCAGATACTGAAGCTGAAGCTCAAATACTTTGGCCACCAAATGAGAAGGGAGCACTCACTGGAGAAGACCCTGATGCTGGGAAAGACTGAAGGTCAAAGAAGACGGGGACGGCAAAGAATGAGATGGTTAGACAGGGTTATCAATGCAATGAACATGAAGTTGAGCAAACTCCGGAGGACGACGGAGGACAGGAGGGCCTGGCGTGATCTGGTCCATGCGGTC